ATCTCATAAATGCTCTCTTAAATATTCCTTTTCTATCCCCAACCCTTTAGAATTCTCCAAATTAAAATTTCTCTTCCCATTACCTCTGGAAAGAGTTTATTTGCAGCTGTATCATCACACATCTGAACTTCTCTTTTTTAAGGAAATGAGATAAAGAATCAAATTTATAGAAGCAGATATTATGAAAGAGTTATTTTCCCCATAATGATGACTGAGCACAGCACCTCTGGTTTATCTGAAATATAATCCAATTTTTCAAAATGTTTTCATAAATAATATAGGAATAACCAACCCTATTCGAACTTAATTCACATAAAACTTCCCTTGACAGCCAAGGGAAATAAAATCATTTTCTGGGCTATTTATTTAGGAGTAAAACTTATTACTTATTTATAAGTAAGCATTATTATTTACTTAGAAGTAAAGTCATTTCCTGGTTTATTTATTCAATGAATTTATTGTGTGATCTTGCAATGCTCTTAGTCTAATGCAAAAGACAGATCCAATATACCACTAATTACAAAGAAATTTATAATAGAGGTAAAAAAAAAAAATCTTATAGAGGGAAGAGTTATAAGCTTGACCTCAGGCTTTGGCTCCAAAATCTGTTCCTCTGGGAAGATGTTTTCATCATCCTGGTCACTTTAGCTGGGACGTGTGTGTGTGTGTGTGTGTGTGTGTGTGTGTACATACGTGTTCACTATCTCTCTCCTTCTAGAATGTCAGTATCTTGAGGGAAGACACTGTATCCCTAGCAACTGAAAAACAAATATGCTTGAGACCATTATTCAACAACTACTTGAGACCATTATTCCTGAGGTCTGGGAATAGACCTCATAGAGAGATGATATTCGAAGGTCTTGAAGAATCTAGAAGTCTGCCACATAGAGAAGGCTTTGCCAACCTAAGAGTCAATGTTAAATTTTCATGTCCAATCATCATATATTCTTTTAATATGTGCTGCTTTTGACTTCTATGTGAAAATATCTTAAAAATCACTGTGAGGAAAGAAACGTAACCCCATAACAAGTTCCAAGAGCTCAGTTTCTATTATTACTGAAAAATATCTTCCAAAGGGAAAAAATATTATAAATTTTTATGGAAATTTGTTTTTACTTAACTAAAAATTATCTCAGTAAATGTATTTTGGTTTAACACCTTCAAAGACATTGACCTAACCAGATTCAATAAACTTGGTTTAGTAAGAAAACTTCAGAAACTTGAGGTGTTGATTTCTTTGAAACCTTATTTTTCTTCAATTTAATTCAAGCTTATCTTCAAGTTAACTTAATGGAAGAATGGAAGTATCATTTATCAAAATTATAAAAATTCTCTCACATACCCCCAAAATTCAATCAGCTATTTATTGTTTGTTGATTAAAGAATAATAGGCAGAAATAACAAAATGACATTTCACTTTGTAATGAGAGAGGCAGAGACTGGTAGCTATTAATTATCTTGGCTCCTAACGAACACTTCATCTGAGCCATACACCCACTCCCTACTTGGTACGGCATCTGCAGCTTTGTCAATTTTCTGGAAGACAAATCCTGGATAGGGAAAGGCAGCCCAGGCCATCATACACTCAGTAAATAGCCTCTTAGGTAATGGGAGACCACGAACTTTTAGACTAGAAGGGATTTAACTTGCCTACTTTTCACTCAAAAGTAAAGGACACTGAGGCCCAGAGAGCTGAGGTGATTTTTTCTGTCAATAGAATCCAGAATCCTGACATGTTAGTTTCAACTATCCTTGGGTACTTCTCTTTAGGACATCAAAACTTTACAAATACACAAAAAAAATGTTTAAAAGGGGAGAACACTCATGGAATAAAACTAAAAAAAAAGAGTTCTGACTTACTCCCAAATGTGAGAATTTAAAAGAATGAGTCATCTGGAGATCCTCGGTTATCTACCACAGATGCTACAAATTTGGTCAGCTCATGGTTTCAGACAGCTCGACCCAGTTTTGATAGTTATGACCAGTAGTCCTCTTCTGCAAGAAGGTCCCCATCCAGTTTTAAAGAATAAACAAGGTTACAGGGATACATGGCACCGATTCATCAAGGTGAGGTAAACCAATATCCTGAAGATGCCTGCTGATTTACTGAAGCACAGGAGGAGTGCCAGCCAACATCTGAACACTGTTGTTAGTTGCCAGAGACTCTCAAGGTCAAGGGCAGAAAAAAATCTAGGCCATACGAATTTCTTTTGTCACTTGAGTTCAGTGGGATTGGGGTTCTGAATGAGTATCCGAGCCCTGTGGTCTGAAGTAATCACTTTCTATTCTTCACTAAAAAACATTTTAGGAAAAACAATATCTCCTCAACTACAAATTTCATGAGATGGAAGAGGCAGAGAAGTCAAACATAATGTGTAAAAAATACTACAAGAGAATTTTGATTTAAGAAGCTGAACTAAGATGAAATAGTCAATTTTTGACAACACGGGCAATACTTCTACACCCCTATTTTTACTGATGCAGATAAAAACTTCACAGCTGGTGTCTCTGCATGATAAATCTGAACATTCAAACACACAATTTTAATTAAATGTTGAAACTATTTAAATTATCAAATGATTGATATTAAGCATTAATGGTTCTTTCTTAAAAATTCTCTTGAAATAGGATATTCCACTCATTTTCTGGAAAATTCAAGACTTAAACAAAGATCCCTTGTCAGAAAGAATGCCACTATGACAAAAGAAGTGAACAAATTTTCTTCTTTTGCAGTAACTGAATACTGCTTGAAACAAGTGGGCAATTGGCTAGACTAGGAAAACATTTCTCTTGTGCAAGTGTTTGTATTATAGCATTATTTATCATGTGATGGTGTAATTTGAACCCTACCTATACTTATGGTTCCCCACCCTCCAAAAATCAGTGAATGAATGATTAGAAGAAAATATGGCAACCTTCTATTTATATCTGAAGGTAGTCTGACTCAGTGGACCATGTACTGCCTGAGCAATGACAAATTCAGGGACAATAAGTGCTCTCATTAATGTGCATAATGGTGATCTTGACCATCTCCCTATGAATCTTTGGAGTATATTAATTTCATGTAGCAAATATGCTGTTAAAATTACTTAAGAGAAAGCTATTAAAATTGTTGTCCCTCCCCGGACCACACCAGGCACAGTATCCCAAGGGTATGTGAGTAATGAGTGCTTAATCAACAGGCATTGCCTTGATCTTTCCATAGGGTTGCTAATCTAGTTTTGGGTCAGTCAGAAAATATGTTATTCAAATGTTGCTTTTAAGTAACACCATACAGAAAAGTGATAAAATCCGTTAAACAGTGTATCTTTATTTTACTATTATACTCTGGTTGTCATCACTTTTTCAGGAAGCCTTTAAAAGCAAAACACACAACTGACCAAGAGAATGTGTGAAGTTGCTAACAGACATATAGATTGAAGAGACAACTTAATGTTGGTTGGGTCACCATCTGGCCAGGGGAGGGAAAACTGGTAACAGTAACTACATAGAGAAACTCAACCACTTCCAGGACTTCTCAGTGTGGCTACATCGATTTATTAAAGGTGAACTGTAGATGTAAGCACATGTACTGTGGGTACTGTAAGACAAGGCATTGTTGCTTAAGTTTCATCATATGTAAAGTGGGCATAATGCTTTCAGAACATAAGAATATGGTGAAACAACATAAGAAAAACAGTTGGCTCAAAGTTCAGTTTCCTTTCCCTGCCAAACCAATATTGTTATGACTACATGGAATGTGCCATTTGCATTAAGAAATATGCACGAGAGAGAATTGTATGTAAATACAGTCAGCAAATAGTTGGGTTTGGTCTGATCTTTACAGGTGCAGTTTAGATCTGGAAATAGGTTCTTAACTACAGGCATACCTCTTGTACTGGCGCTTCACTTTCTTGCACTTCGAAGATGTTGAATTTTTTTCAAAGCAAAGGCAAGACCCTCTATCAGCAAAAAGATTACAACTTGCTTTATTGCGATACTTGCTTTATTGCAGTGTTCTGGAACCAAACCCGCAATATCTCCTAAGTATGCCTGTACTTAATGTTTTTTCCCTAAAAGGAACAAGTAAATATTGCAGGAATTCAAAGATGACACGAGCCACAGCCAATCAGTCCCTTTGAGTGAAGCATGGCTGACAGTCTAGGAATTACTAATTTATAACAGGTACCAACTGCTGATTCCAGTGGCCTCCAGCTCTCATCCTAACCAGCTAATTTCACTGGGAGAAGAGGCAAGAGATTGACTTTGATTCTCCTCATTACCAACCAAATGTGGAAACCTCTTTAGCACAGTGGTTTTCAATCTTGGCTGCACATTCGAATCACCTGGGGAGCTTTAAAAACTCTGGATGCCCAAATCACACCCCAAACCAATTACATCCTAACATGGGGGTGGATTTTTTTTTATTTTTTTAAAGTCCCCAGTGACCCAAGATGCAGCCAAGGTTGAGAACCATTCCGTAGGATCAACCCTCCTGACCGCATGTAACTTCCGCTGCAAGTCAAAGCAGAGAAGCCAACCCAGAGTGTTTCACCACAGCTTCTGAATAAAGCACAGGTGCCTGCACTGAGATCAATACAGGGCTGAACAGACCACTTATTAGCTTAAGGGTTACCCGAATCCTCACCAGTCATTTTTGCAAATAGTTTGTATTTCAAAAACAAAAAACGGGGGGGAGGGTAAAAAAAAAGTTCGCCAATTTTAAGATATGTCACCAAAGCTCAAAGCCCGTTAGGATTTTTCTTTTCCTTTTTTTTTTTTTTTTAAATGGCAAATCTCTTGGGAAGGGCAGTCAGAATATAGGTGGGAGTGCGCTCCACTTATAGAGCCTAGAGAAAAGCAGGTAGAACCATACAATTCCCTGTGGTCGCCTAGAAGAAACCCCGCAGGCTCCCCTCCCCCAACCCCCCTGCCCCAGCGCGGGTGAGGCGGGTGTACGTGGGCCCGAGGCCACTGCACCTGCTGGGCCGCACCTGCCGCGCGGGGCTCTCCCCTCCTACCTTCGAGGAGGTCGTCCAGGCTGGTGACTTTCCTGCTGCCGTCAATGGTGTAGATGGTGCGGACGCCCTGAGGCAGGTTCACGTTGTCCGACAAGGAGCGGGTGAGCTCCATAAGCAGCGCATCGAAGGACCGGAAGCGGTCGCTGGAGATGGCAAAGACCAGGCCCTTGAAATAGCGGTCCCCATTCCGGTAGAAGCGCGCCTTCTTGGCCTTCTTCTCGGAGCTCAGGGCCTGCAGCGTCCGCGTGCGGTAGAAGCTGCAGTGGGCACTGTGCGCCGGGCTGGGGATGAGCCCGTTCCCCTTGGGGCCAGAGCTGCTGCTACCCCCAGAGGAGCTGGGCGCTCCTCTCCGCGACCCCGGCCGCGGCCTTTTGTCCCGTTCCTCGAAGTGCTCCAGTTCAATGCTCCTGGTGCTGGCCATCGCAGCCGCTCCGAGCGCTGTCCGCAAGAAAACCGTCCCAGCCAAAGCCTGCAGGTAGCCAGGGTCAATGCGAGAGCCAGCTCAGGGACGCCGGGCTGTGAAGGGCCTTTTTCAAAGCGCCGGGACACCTGGCTCTGGCATCCCGCCCCCTGCTCGCAGGTGGGGCCGCTGAGCTGCGGATGCTCCCGCCCGCCGGCGCCGGGCCTAAAAGTGGCCGCAGCGTCGAGCTGCCCGGCTCATTGTCCGGTGCGGCTGGCTCAGCCCCTCCCGCCCGCCGGCG